TTGCTGTGGGTGACAGCGTGAGCTGGGCTTCCTGGGGTTGCACACATGGGTGACAATGGCAGGAAAGGGTCCAAGGAGAATTAACCTTAGTCAGAGGTGCTGCCAAAGGGGCCCAGAGAAGGACAGCTTCCTTCCAGTCTAAGTCTTCAGGGCCACGCCCGAATAAGCACAGCTTCCCGTGCCAGAGGGTCTCCCGGACAGCTGTGGTCCAAAGCTTCATGTTTCATCAAAGGCTGGTGGCGTGACAGCTTCCAGAGACAGCGTTCATTTCTGGTGTCTGTTCTTACTTTACAAAACACTTTTTCTTTTCCTGGGTTCGAGCTCCAGACCTGTAGAAGTCCTGATAATGGGAGATTTCCTTGTGCCACAAATTCTGACCCCCATAACCAAAGACTCAAGGAGGGAGTGTCTGTGTACGAGAACTAATGGAATCATTTCTGGCACTAAACCAGACCCTCCCATGCCAAGCGGTTCCAGGAAAACCTGGCGCATCCAAATCACGGAAGTAAAGGCAGCAACTCATAAACCCAGTTTCCCTCATAAACCCAATAAATCCTTGGGAAAATAATCCACTCGGGGACAAATATATGTAAACAACTTTATATGTTTTTGGAGACTTTTTGTTTTTCTTTTTGAAATAGAGAAAAATAAATATCCCATGTGTTAGCTTTCAAAGTAAATAACTAGGACTACAAAGCATATCAATAAATATAAGCCTATAAACTTGAGTGCCAGCTGTGTGTGTGTAATCCCAGCCCTTGAGAGGCCGAGCCAGGAAGATCACTGTGAGTTTGAGGCCAGCCTGGGCTACAAAGTGAGACCCTGTCTCAGAAAGATAAAAAGAAAGGAAGGAAGTGATATAGGGGAATGAAACTCCAAACCTACTGTATGTCCGGTACAAGCTGAAGAATGAATTTTAGGAACAATAGAGAGTAAGAGCAAAATATATTTATTGAGAAAAAGAAAGCTTCTGTCTGACGGACAGAAGGGGTCCCGAGTGAGTCCCCGGCAGGTCCAAGGTGGAGGAAACCCAGGAACTCACAAGGTGGGCATAAGGTGGGACAGAGCTATGGTTAACCAATAAGATTAACTCTTCAGGTAAAATTGATTCAATCAGGGACAAATGGGGAAGTGAGTCACGTAGAAAGCTGATGTCTTTGTTCTTTTTCTGTTGTTGTTGAGACAAAATACCTGATGCCCAAAATTGGGGAAAGAAAGGTTTATTTTTTACAGATTGTAAGTTTTAGTCATATTTAGTTGGCTTCAAGGCAAAGTGACATAGATGAGGGGCAATGGTTTATGGCGGCCACCAACAGCAAGCAGGAACAGCAAAACAGAGCGACACGCCTGTTTTCTTCTGTAATATTATATGTTGACTCCACCCTTGAGTAGATATAACACTCACACCACCAATCCCAGTGTTAGATGATAACCAATCATAAACCTAGACTTAGACTCATCCATAATTATATAAGACTTGGGGGGCCATCTGATATAAACCATAACGGCAGGCATGCTTAAGGAGCAGTGACTCTTCCCACGGGGTTGTGATAGTGACTTCTGGTTTCTCAGAATGATAGAGACCTATTTAGAATATTAGTCCTTAGGATATGGGTGCATTTGTTTGATCTCTTGTTTTGAGGCCTGGCCCACAGCAGGAGGTCTCTGTCTCCCTCACATCTGCAAAGTATCTGGGTTTAGCCCTGTTTGACTGCCTACAATATTCCTGTCTAACTCAGTTGATTGTAACAGAAGGAAAGAAGGGAGCAAGCAAGAAAGCAAGGGAAAAAAGAGAGATAAAGAAAAAAAGAAAACAAAGGAAACCTGAAAAATTAGAGCTGCAGAGATCCGAGGCCATCTTTTCTGCCCATTCTTTTCTGTAGTGGGTTAAGTAATGCCCCTGTGATGCACATCTACTTGGAGGCTTGCAATGAAAATTTATTTGGAAATAGGATCTTTGTCTCATCAATTGGCTTTAAGCAATGTACATTGGGCTGGCTGAGGAGCTGGTGTGTCATCTCTGAAGCAAAGTGACAGTGACTCCCCAAATACGAGGTTGAGCTGGGCGGGATGGAGAGCCGTGCTCCACACCATCAGCTGGGACCAAACCTCGAGAAAGACGCTAAAGGATTGTACATCAGGACAAAAGGATCGTACATCAGGACTGAAGCTCCGACCCCAGATTATTAGAAACCACCTCAGCTGTGTTACGCAGATTGCTCTCTCTGCACCTCTTGCTCGCTGCTTACTGCAGAGTCAGTGACCTCAGACTCCTACCTAACCCAGCTGATTGTAGTCACACATTTCCTGCCACTCTCCCTGTCACTTCTCCCTGAGCCACTCCCTCATGGGGAATTAATAAAACTCGGGTTGGGCTCTGGGTGAGGCCTTTGCTCTGATGAACCTCCGTCTTGGCTGGAGCCCCCTTGGTTCCCCATAACTACATATACATGTCTCAGGGTCTTTATTCTCCCTTGGGTTGCACTGGAGATGGTAGATTGGAATTAACTCATTAGAATTCTAATACTTTTTCCTTGGGATTACAAATATAAACCCTTCTGGACTGCAACGAGGATGAGGGAGGGTTCTCTATAGAAAATAGGACTCTTGGGCTGTGTGACACCCCCAAGACTGCATGGGGGTCAATCTTCTATCCCAATACCTTCTATTTTTCTTTAAGAATTTTATTAGGAAAAAAAAGAATTTTATTTGTTTTACAGTGTTGTTTTCTATGTCCTTCCTGTCTGGACATGGAAATAATGTTTCTTTTCTATTGTCAACATTCATTTTGAGATAAAATGTCATTTCCTGCCAACTTACAAATGCTATAAGAAGGGACAATTCAAGCTTTAGGAATATTTTGGCTTTTTTTTTTTTTTTTGGTTCAGGGATCAAATTCACAACTTTGCCCTTGCTGGGCAGGCACTTATGCCTCTGAGAAATCCCTAGCCCATAGAAATAACTTTGGATTGTGATATTTTTCAATAAATTTACTGCCTGCTCTTTTGGTATTCCAAAACAACCCTAAAGACTGTTCCTTTTAACAAGGGCTGTCTTTTTTAAATGTTGAAATCATCAATATTTTCTAGCAGTTTTCTAATGACAAACAAAGTCCTGCTGGGAATGTTGGATGTGATACTGTCTCATTTGTTCATGTGTTCATTGTAGTGCTGGAGATCAAAGCCAGGGCCTGGAGCATGTAAGACAGTTCTTCCGCTGAGATCCACTTCCAGCTCCTGAAGTAGACCCTTTGATGTGAAACTTATTAGCCACTGTTTGGAGGGCTGTTAGTTTTGGGGGGTGGGATCTGGTGATCATCCTATCTGAGGCTCAGCATGATGGCGGCCATATGGATCTGAGCTTGTTGAGCAAATGAACGAGTAACAGATGTTTCCATGCAGGAACCCTCGATCTTGCCACTACTGGCATTTTGGACCTGATCATTTGTCATGGGAGACTGGGATATGCAGTCTCCCATGACAGCATCTTCATCTTCTCCAACGCTGTGCCAGGAACACATTCTCCCAAAGAAATCTCTAGACACTGCCCAATGACCAATGGGATGCTATACTGCCCTGGTAAGAATTATTGCTTTAACACCTGAGTATTGACCATGATATTACATCACCCATTTGAGTCCAGGTCAGGGAGTTTGGCTAACCAATCAGTGAATGTTGACGGGAACCAGTATATGATCATGTAATCCATAGCTGACCCCGAAGCTCCTCAGAAGAGGATCAAAATTCCACGTGTTTGCTAAGGACTAAGTCTTTCAGTGACCAGTTGCACCTGAAGAACACGAGAGGTGGTTGTAATGAGTTCTACTGCCAGTCCCCAGCTACACCCTGCCCTGAATGGAGGCTCTTGGGGGGAAACAGTTCCAGACACTTGGTTATGACAGCTGCTCAGGAAGGCTGAAGCCAGAAAACATTTTTAGCCATTACACTAACGAGGGAGGACTCCTGACTGCTGTGTGGTTTCCTCCTGAGAAACACAGGCGGCAGGAAAAAACATAAAACTCATATGTGTCTAGCAACAGGAACAGGGTCTCCACTGCTTCCTCTGCCATGATCTTCCTCTGGTGGCAGCATGGTCCGAGGAGCTGACACAGTGGGGGTTCTGGACCCTCCCCAGATCACTGGTGCTTCATAGAGGCCGTCTAATCATCTCTAACTCTTTGGCGTTAACCTGAGTCCATGGTCCTGTAGGACATTCCTGTGATACAATGTCATGCATGTGTGAGTGGTGGTGGGAGGGAGGAATCACTAGATTTCATCATATTTTCATTTTTTCTTTCTTCCTTTATTTTTCTGCCCTGAACTTACAGAGATCCTACTTCTTAGCCTCCTAAGTGCTAGGATTACAATGTGTACCAGTACATCTGGCTTCATCAAGTTTCAGGGGAGTCTCAAAATGGTAGAGTCACTCGTCTATCTCATTTGAGATGAGGAAACGGAAGCCCAGAGGTTAAAGGCTCTAGTTTTCCACAATTGGAACCTGGCAGACCTCCTGGGCCTTTCCACACCACAGGCTCCTGGAGATGGGGAAGTCTCCCGGGCACTGGATGGGTCCTGAGCACTGGTGAATTAGGAGGGCGAATTCTGTTCAACTAGAACTATTCTGTTCAACTAGAATGGAAGATGGTCCATTACACTTGAAACTCACATAAATACAAATACTTTAGTGTAAATATATACCAAGCAGTATATACGGGACACATGCTAAAAATTTATTTATCTGAAATTTACATTGAACTGGGTAGCTTGGATTTCCTCTTTCTCCCTGTCTCTGTGTCTGTGCCAACTCTGACAAACCTGTTTGGCAGGGATGGCCCAGGAATCTTCAGCTGGGAAGTGGACACTAAGGCGCCAGCACTGGACGTCCATGAGTCGGTTTAGGACTCTCAGTGGACCTGTAGCTCCCCCTACCCTGGGACCCTAAAGGCCTGAGGCATTCTACTTGCCGGTGGCCTTTCAAAAGATGATATCTCACAGACTTGGTAAGAGTAAAAATCAAATTTATTTAATACAACCCCCCGTCAGGCTCCCTGCCGCTGTGCGCTGGGGAAGGCGATGGCGGCGCAGCGCGCTCCCCAGCAATGGCACCGCCCTTTCCACCCACTCCAGACCCCCTCCAACACACCGGGAGAGCTCAGGAGACCACTTCTGTAGCAGGGAATAAATTAAAAAAAATTAGTAAGAAAAATACACACTTCATTTTTCTATTAAAAATAGTATCTGCCGTAGGCAGCCCCTGCTCACGCTTTGGCCTTCAGCTTGCTGGAGGAAGACGGGGCCCAGAGGACATGAGTGCGCATGCGCCTTCCTGCTCCATCCCGAGCTGGGCCCGCAGGGCCCTGCAGGGCCATCTAGGTGGCCTTTCCGAAGGACCCGCACCCAAGCAGCTTTGTTTACCACCCTGTGGTGGGCGAGGTCAGGAGGGGGGGAGGGGGAGCCCTGTCTGGTCATTTTTGAAGAACAAGCGCTATCCAGAGCTTCAGGCCTTGGAAGGACCCAAGAGAAAGAAAACAGAAAACTAAGAAGCCTCAGAGTAGGCCATCTCCTAGTGATCGGGTACAAGATGAAACAGGTAGGAGGGCACATGCAAAAGTTCTGTATCTCTGTACAAGACCAAACATTCAAGTTTTAAAATACTCAGTGGTCTGTTAACTCTGACCTCCTTCCACACTGCGAGGATGCTTCCCCGTGGAAGGAGGGCCGCAAGGGCGACTGAGCAGACAGACCCTCTGTATCTCTTTATACCTAACACGAATGCAGCAGGATGGATTTGAGAACTGGTGCCTTGGTCTGAGGAGTTTCTAGGTTACATGGGAGCAGAGCAGGTTCATGAGTGCACAGAGGTCTTGGAATATGGGAATCATCTGCTCTTCTTGGGACGCGGACGTCTGCCAGACAGGAGCACCTGCTTTTGCTGTCCTAAGTTCCATCAAGCGAGCCCTGTGTTCTCTGTAGGGACAAAACACAAGAGAAGCTGTAGTCACACCCCCTAGGACTGAAGATGGCCACGGGAGAGAGATATGCAGAATGACAGATGAACACAGTGGACCTGCAAGGCTGTGCAGCCACCCCTGGGCTACCCCACCCTGCCCACACTGTCTCTCTCTTCTGTCCACTGTCTGCTGCCTCTGTCCCTGCACACATGCTGAACATCAATCTGTTAAGCAGCTGCATCAACTACACATGTGCACTAGCCTGCAGTTCGGTGCGTGCTAAAGTTATCCATATAAAGAGAATGGAGTGTGAGGGGTTTTGTTTCTTGAATTGAACTCATGATCTCATGCTTACCAGGCAGGCACTGTGCCAGTGAGCTATGCGACTTGTGAGTTTTAAGAAACCTGGCTTCTAGCCCCAGCTCCACCTTGAACTAGCATGGGTTATGCTCTCTCTAGGTCTGCTTGTTTGTTTTGTTTTTGAGATAAGGCCTTGCTATGTAGTTCAGGTTGGCCTTGAATTCACCATGTATCCCAGGCTGGCCTGGGACTCACGGTGATCTTCCTGCCTCAGCCTCCTGAGTACTAGGATTACGGGTGGTACCACCACGCCCAGCTAAGTCTGCTCTTTTAAGTTTTTTTCCTTTTTATTTTAAAAATGAATGAACTTAAATGATTAAAGTTAGATATTTAAAAATGATTCTATCCTAAAAGGAATGAAATGCTGATATATTTTAAAACAAATGAACCTTGAAAGAATCATGCTAAAAGAAATAAGCCAGACATCAAAGGACAAATATGAGTCTGCTTGTTTGATGTATGAAGAATGGTCAGATTCATGGAGACAGAAGGTGAGACAGTGGTTGCAGGAGTCTGGGAGCGGGGAAGAGCAGAGTCCAGTTACTGTTAAATAGGTACAGTGTTTCACCTTGAGGTGATGAAAGTTTCTGAGTGAGATGAAAATTTAGGAGGTGGTTAGTGATACTGGTTGCATAGCAATGTGAATTCACCTCGTAGAACTGCATTATACATTTAAAAATGGTTAAGATAACATATATACCTACAATAAAAAAAGTTAAACCATCTCTTGTACCATCTTGCAGTGCTGTTAAACTGCTTCAAGTGATGCTCGGGTCAGCTTCCCATACCAGAACCTGGACCCTCATCTGACCTGCACTTTATGCTGAGGATGCAAGAACCTGCCCCAAGAATTGTTCACAGGATCAGTTCTTTTTTATAGAATACTTTTTTTTTTTTTTTTTTTGGCGGTTCTGGGGATCCAACTTATGGCCGTGCACTTGCAAGGCAGACGCATATGCCGCTGAACTAAATCCCCAGCCATATGATCAGTTCTTAACAAATGACTATGAGAAAGACCATAGGAGAGCCTTTAGCAAATACAGAAGCATTTAGAGGCAATAGAGGCGCTGGACTGGGCAGTGAGGAGATCACAGAAGTAACTTGGAGCAGGCCTCAAAGGTTGAATTTTGACAATTGGAAATGGCAGGGGCCTGTGGCACAGGGCACCCTGCTACAGATGGAATTCAGCCAGGCACCAGCACAAGAACATGTGCAGACCACCCAGAGTCTAGGGAACCCCATGGCTGGGTTGGTTGGCATCTTAAGGGTGAGCTGAGATCTCGTCTCCATTTTGTTCTGGTCCTCCTGGGTCAGAGCCTTTTGGAATGGGATGCAGGACGGAGGACTCCAACTAGAAGGTCAAGGCTCTGGTTGCTCCTCTGCAGGAGGAACCAGGAGGAGCAGGCCAAAAAAGTTGTGTTGGCCCCAGAGAGCTGGAAGCTCGCCAGTGCTGGCAGCTACCCTTGTGCCATTTCCTCCCCTCTGGCCAGAGGAGGGAGACCTGTGGTGTGCAGCCTTTCTGTAGGACCCAGAACTGAGCCCTCCCTGGATATCTCTGCTCTCCCTTTCTGGACACTGCTGCACAACAGTGCCACAGACAGGAAGGGCTTGGCTCAGGGACTCTGAAATAAAGGTTAACACGCTCACATCCGAGGACGGAGCTTCTTGTGCCTAAGCCAGAGGCCAGCTGTCAGCCATCCAAGTACAGCCATGAAATTGCCCACTTCTGGTCAGAACATGATTCATATCTCCTCAAAAATCATGTTTCAAACAGCCCGTGGACCTCCAATTCCTACTTTTAGAAAATACTGCGTATGAGTTCTTCTAATGTATTAGGACCGCGTCATTTAATCCTTGCAACAACTAGGGGAGGTATTTTATCATCCCCAGTTCACAGATGAAGAAACAGGTCTTGAGGGTAAGAGCCCAAAGTGACAGGGCTCATACACAGTGAGCACAAGTTAAGTCTCAACGTGGGTCTCTGATTCCTAGGTCAAAGCTTGGCTTCGATTGAATCTCACTCCCTGGGGAAGCAATTGCTACATTTCATATTTGTTGCAGGGGCATTTGAGGGCCAAATAAAGTAACTTTAACATCCACATCCACTGTTGCCAAAGCCATGAGAATAAATTTAAAGTAGATAACAGCTAACTTTTATGTGGTCGCTAAGTTTCTCATTTAAACTTTAATAAAGCCCTGAGTAGTCATGGTTCTCCTCTTCGTCCTCAACTCCACTTTACAGATACAGAAGCTTAAGGCTTGGAAAAGACAGGGTTACCCCAGAGAGGGCTGCAGAGTTGCAAACCACCCTTCATTGCACTGAGGCCAGTTCCCCCTTCTGTGGCAGCCCAGCTGCCTGGGCCCCCAGAGGAAGGAAAGTGATTGGTTGCAACCACTTTTTGCTGTAGGAAGGCAGGGTCCTGGCCAAGATTGAGAACTGACTCTCATAGGTTTAGATTCACCCTTCTCATTTAAGTACAGGGTGTTCTCTTTCATGTTATCTGTCTGCAGAGGCCACAAACGCGAGGTATAAACAAGACAAAAATGGCACGGGAAAAGTGAAGTCAGAATGTGCCATTGAAGCCAGTCAAACAATACCAAATTAGCAGCTGGCCAAGTGGCTGTCTCATTGTTAAGATATTTCCTCCAATATGTTTTCAGAAGTAACGACCATTAAACAAGAGGGAATGATTGCCAGGTTTGATTTCAGGAAGGAAATCCCCTCCCATTTCCCTGCTGGGCAATTCAGTTGATTTTCTCCCAATCAACTCCAGCTGATGATTAGGAAACTATACGTGCTTCTTTTATAAACAAAACCCATAAGCTTAAAAATTCAAAATTCCTTTCCCAATGACTGAGTCCTCCTTGGTGCTGACCAAAAGTCTGTACTTGGGGGCCAGGACCAGCCCGCGTGAACTTTTAGGAACAGATTTCGGGTCCATGATCCAGCTTGTGGGGAAAAGGAAAGTTCAGTGTGGCCTGGAGTTTGGAGCCTTTGCCCAGAAAGGCTCTTTGGAATGAAGACAAAGTAAATACGTTGGTCCTGCAGGGTATCTGGGCTTAAGGATGGAGTCACATTTATTACGGAGGGAAAACACATTTTTATGTCTCCCAAACCACCTGTGGGGCAAAGTTCTCACTCTCTGCTCTCTCAAAGTTTTTACTGCTGGGACAGCAAACATCGTTTGTTTAAGGGAGACTTGTGTGGACAGAGCACTGGCCAGAGAGCCCGCTTTGTTCCTGGCTCTGGGTGACTGAGGGCAAGCTGTTCTTTCAATCCAAGCCTCAGTATTCTTCATCTATAAATTGGGCTCCCCATCTTTCTAATGCAACGGTCTCTAATTTTTTTGTGTGTGCTGGGGATTGAACTCACAACCTCGCCTTTGCCAAGCAGGCACCTACACAGCTGAGCTAAACCCCCAGCCCCAACAGTCTCTGATCTGAGGAGGCTGGGTGGGTACAAACTAAGAGTATGTTCCTTTCATTCTTCTTTTCCTTAAATTGATAGCTTTCCTCTACAAAAAGAATGTCAGCAGCTTCCTGCCTGTCAAATGCATAACAAGCTCTGTTTTACAAGAATTCAAAAAACAAAGGAAGCCAGGGGCCCACTGGAAGGGATTGCAGAAGTCTTAACTAAAAGACAGTTCCCCAAACAGATTCCCCATTTCTTAAGATGACAGCTGCCCTGTTAACTCCTGCACTGCTGGGTAGTGCCCAGAAATGTGGAGTGGTAAGGTTAGTGAGAGACAGCCCTTTGCAGCTTCATCTTGGGCCTGTATCGTTTTCTTTTTCTTTTTCTTTATGGTTGTAGGAGACCAGGCTGGCCTTGAACTTACTATGTAGTCCAGGCTGGCCTTGAACTCCCAGGAGTGCTGGGATTACAGGTGTGTGCCACGATGCCCAGCCTGGGCCTGTGTCTTTCTTACTAAGAAAAAGCAATGAATGTCCTAGATTACCAATCCTTTGAGAGGGATTCCTAAAGTCCCCTTTCCTAGGTAGACATAATGATAGAAACAAATTGATGCAGATTAGTCAGTGAATCCCGGTTTAAAACAGTCTAGGCCAATACAGGAGTAGGAGGACAATTAGTATAAAGCAGACCCTGGAAGGATCAGGCAACATTCTACTGTTCTATCAACAGTGTACTTACTGAATATCTGTTTTCCACAGAATCTGCAAGATAAAGAATAGCACGGGTAAGCAATGCACAGATCTGTCTTCCCCACCAGATCTCAGGGGCTAAAGGGCGGGAGCGGGTGCAGGCAAGAGGCTGGGGACAATGACACAGAAAGGGATGCCAGGCCATGTGGTGACCCAGCATTTAAGTTTACAACTCCTTGCCCACAGACAGGTTCCTAGGGAACCTCTCGTTCCATGTGACAGGCATGTAAAGTCCTTGGCACATTCTTTAACATTTTAAAAAATATTAGTAGCAGACGTTTTTAAGAAAACAATTGAAAACTGCAGAAAAATAGAATATAAAACACATCTTGAAAGTAGGAATAAAATTCCTCTCGTCCTACCCTCCAAACTCTGTTGACATTCTCCAGCCATTTTCTACTGAGTAAGCTTTTTTTGAAGGGGGCAGTTATATGGCACGTGATCTTTTATATCCTCTTTTTTGTTTTTCTGGAGACCAGCTCTCACTATGCAGTTCAGATTGGCTTCAAACTCACCATGTAACCCAGGCTGGCCTCCAATTTGCAGCTGTCCTCTTGTCTCAGTGCTGGGATTACAGGCGTGTGCCACCACACCCAGCTCCTATATTTTTTCATATGACATGACTTTATAAGAGTTTCTGGTACCTTTTTAAACATAACTGTTAAAGCAGCAACATTATAATCGTTATTTAACAATTATACGTGCAAGGGTTTACTTAACCAGTTCTTTACTTCAAAAAGTTATGATTCTTAAACTAGGTATGGTGGCGCATGTCTACAATCTCAGAACTCGGACGCTGAAGCAGGAGGATTGCAAAGTCTAGCCTGTCTCAAAAATAAAAATTAAAAGGGTTGGAGAAAAAAAGCTTATTCTAGAATTTTGGTTATTTTAAATGATGCTAACATCCTCTTTAGAAACAAAGCTATTTCTATAAATTTCATAATATTTCGTCTGCCTATTCCCAGGAGTAGGATCAACTGAGCAAGAGGCGGAAATGTACCTAAGGCTTTTGTCCTAGGAGCCAAACAGTTCCCGTGCACAGCACTTCACTTTCCCTTCTCCTGGGGCAGTGGAGTCAAATCTATGGGCACAAGTGCCACACTGGGCTGCTTGTTACCGTTGAAAGCGCTAAAACCTTCACCATCATTGTCCTAGGGAGTCTCATTTCAACTGTCCAAAGGGCATGTGCTGTGTGGCTGGCCATGCCAGGACACCTCTGCAAATGGCCCCTGGGCAACTGTCAGGAAGGGGAGACTGCAGGTAGGAAAAGCCCACGCCAGAGGACAGGAATCTGCATGGAGGGTGAGCGGCTGCTGCCAGCATCAGTCAGAGGCAGCTTTCACTGCAAGAGGCATGCGAGGGCAATGGTTTGCCCCTGTGAGTAGGACCAGGCCCCCACTACTACCACAATGTCCAAAATCTCTAGACTGCCCACACTGGACCCAGGCTGGAAGATGCAGTAGCTATGGGGACCTCGTCTGCTGTCTGGGGAGGCCCCAAGAGAAGGTGTTGCTGCTCTTAAAAAGGGTACGGGTAGTGGTGAGGAGGCCATAGCCCCCTCCAGGTCCTCGGTCTCCTGGAGAGCAGCACTCCAGCGGCCCTGGTTTATACTCAGACCAATGAGCTCAAAACCCAGTTCTGTCTGGACCTTGGGCAGTCTCAGGGGCCATCTGTCACAGGCGGAGTCATAATCTTCATCTCTCTAACTTAAAAATGTCTTGTTCCCACACTCCACTTCCTTTTAAACTCCATCCTACCACACCCCAGTGTGCCACCCCTAGAGGGAACAGGACCGGAAGCCCCTAAGGCCCTCTCTGTCTCTGGGCCAGAGTCACACAGCCATGGACAACCGGAAGAATCAGCCCAGCCCAGCGTGAGGCCCTGTGTCAACTGCCACACAGCGAGGCTGTCCTGGGAGGAACCGCAGGGCGCCATGTACCAGCTGCCCTACAACCCATGGGCTCCGGAGCCAGGTACAAGTGGGGAGAGCCTCAAGGCTGTGTTTCCTAAAGTAATCTGGCATAAAATGCTAAAAATTCATTATATTTGTGGATAATATGGATGGAAATCCAAGTCTATTCTCATTGGTAGTTTTTGCTCCTTTTTGGTAATGCTAATTTTTGGTAATGGAGCAATCACCATAAAAATAGAATTTGGTGGGTAGCACCCTCATTTTTTGTATGAAGTACCTTATGCACTGGAGGAAGTGCCACCTCGAGGGGGTAGTTTGGCAGTGCCCGATGGCACAGCTGGCTCCCAGCCTCACAGGATGGGTGGGGACAGACTCAAGTGTTCTCTCTCTCTGTCAGATGGGACTTGGCCTGGAGGCCTTCTTTTCTTTGGCACTTTCTTGATGACTGTTTCCTGTTGTGACTGTTCTCAACCCATCCCCTTGCTACACAGGGTGGCAGGGAATGATTGCATCGAGGATCCGGGGTTTCTGCGCTGTGAGGTCTGAATTCCAAGCAGGAGTGGAAGGCTGAGTGAGCTGAATCTCAGGTGGGCTGAGGCCCTGTCTGACTCAGTGGATGGGACATGGGGCAGGGACTGCAGCAAGCCTCAGCATCTCTCCCAGGGTGAGGGGTAGGGGTAAGAAGTCCCCCTACCATTTAGCAAGTTGGGTACATGGAAAAAAATCAGCTGGCGTCTGGAGAAGAAAGCTCTTGCTGGAGAGTCCCAGGAGGTGAGGTCCCTAAGGCAGAGTTTCTCAATGTTGCGCTATGAACATTTGGGGCCGTTGAAGTCTCTGTGTTGGCAGGGCTGTCCCCAGCACTGTGACACGCTTAGCAGAATCGCTGTCTCCACTCACCAGACGCCATTGCTTTGCCCTCCCCCAGCCAAGTTGTGACAAACAAAAGTGTTTCCAGGGTTGCGGGAAACCTCAGTGGCAGAGCGCCTGCTTAGCAAGAGGTCAGCTTAGCGAGGCTCTGCATCCCATCCCCAGAGTCACAAAATAAACAGATATATCATCCGGAGTCAGTGTTGGCATTGGTTGGCATTCCCTGAGAGAGCTAAAGCTTACCGAAGGGCAGACGCTTTCCTCAGCCCATCCCAGCCACAGCAGGTCCTTCGCTCTGTTCCTTGGGTTTTGCTCAATTTGGTGTCTTTCTTACATACTTTTCCTAGTTCTGAGAATGTTTTCCCTTCCCTCCTGAACAGGCGGGGCACATGCCACAGCAATGACCATGTAGCAGCTGAAGGGAAGAAATCCCTACAGTCTCCTTATCTTAGGCTGAGAGTGAGTTGCAAGGGAAAGATGTCAGCTTAGCCACATAACACACAGCAGGCTCCAAACCAAACATCAGTTAGCACAACCCTAGCCATGACCCAAAAGGGGACACTCAAGGCTTGAGTCAGGAGAGATGCCACCTTCCCACCACAGTTCATCCCCACCCGAGGGTCACTAGGTGTCCACTCTGCCACAGTTCCACCTGAGCCAGAGGCATCTGAGTTGGAGCTGATGAGAAAACTAATGTCTGAGGGCAAGGGGAGGCCTGGAGCCAAGTCACACAACCCAGTCTTCCTCAGAGGGTTTTCCGTGAGATTCACATAGACCGCTCGGGCTGGGCTATCATGAATACACCAGAAATACGGTAAGTTGGCTCTCCGGTCCAGGACTGAATCCCGATTTGAGGGAAAACTTGAGTTTATGAGTAGATTTCTATGGTGTTCAAGAGAGAAGCTATGGTGGGTTAAGAATTAGGATTAGCTCCAAGGTTACCTGGGGAGTAACTCTTTTTTCTTTTTTTCTGGCACCTAATGACCTCCTGCTCGCCAGGCAGGCGCTTAGGCTACTGAACTAAATCCCTGGCCACCAAGGAGTAGCTCTTAAGAAGTGAGTGATTCCAACCTGGGTCTGGTGGTGCACATCTGAAATTCTAGTTACCTGGGAGGGTGAGGCAGGAGGACTGCAAGTTGGAGGTTAACCTGGGCAACTTAGCAAGACCTTGTCTCATAATAAAAAACCGCAAGGGATACAGCTAGTACTTTCTGAGCTCAATCTTCAGTATTGGTGGCAGGGGAGGAAAAAAAAAAAAAAAGAAAAGTGACTCAGGCAGCCAGCCTGCAGGGACCACAGCAAAGCCCTAGGACTTCCACATTCAGGCGCCAGCAGCCTGAGACTGGATCCTGTGATTGGAAGGGAACTTAAGGTCACTGGCTTGACTGCCTCATTTGACAGATAAAAAAGCTGAGCTTGGCCAATTTCACAAAGACAGAGGGTAGAATATTGGCTGCTGGAGCTGGGGGAAGGAGCTATTGTTTACGGGTGTGGTTTGGTTTGGAAAGATGGAAGGGTTTTGGAGGTAGGGGTTGGGGCTGGCTGCCCAACAACGTGAACAGACTCAAGGCTCTGAACCATGCACTTGGAGATGGTTGAAATGGTGCTATGTGTACTTTAAAATTGAAAAACAAGAGCTAAGCTTAGAACTTAAAGTCAAAGCTCACAAACTACAGGAGATGCCTGCAAAGACCAGCCACGTCCCATAGTGTATGAGCTCACCCAGGGAGTCAGGCCTTTTCAGCAGCCCCCAGAAGTCTCTCCAAGGTCCTGCCTTGGGCTGCTCCTTGGAGAAAGGCGTGCCCTTGCCCTTTTGCTTATCAAGGGGTGGGGTTTTCCTCTGGGGAAAGGGGGCTAAATAGCCAGAACTGCACCCAATCAGCCATTTCCCAAAATAGCCCCTGCTGCAGTACTGCTGGCTGGAAGGTGGCTGGGGATGAGAAGGCAACGTTAGTGAGGACCCTATTCTGTCCCTGGGGGGCCAACTGATCCGCCTGATCCCCTGCCTTCACTGGGACTTTTATTTTCCTGGGGGGGTGACCCCACCACACACATAGTATTTCTGAATTTCCCCACCGGCCAATCCTGAGCAATTGCTCCGGGATCCTCAGGGTCCTTCTCACAAGGAGCAGAACCTGTGTAGCACAGACAGAAGACGGCACAGGGCAGCTACAGGATAGTTTTCAAAGTGTGTTCCCGGGGCTGCCAACAGCTCTAGCGGCATGAAGGAGCTTACTAGAAATGCAAATTATTGGATCTATTGACACAGCATTTGGGGAGGGGGCATCATGTGAGCTGTGTTTCAACAAACTTGCAAACCACTGATCTGTAACTAGCCCATCCTTCTGATCTCACAGAGAAAGTGAAAGTACTCCAGAGCTCAAGTTCCTCCTATTTTTAAGCTAAATTTGAATGCTTACCATATAGTAGGGATAGTATATGAAATACCTGGGATAAGTATTAACATCTCCTGTGATCTTTTCTTTTTTTAAGACAGGGTCTCACTATGTAGTTCATGATGGCCTTGAACTCAGTCTGGGCTCATTATGTAGCCCAGAGTGGCCTCAAACACACAGCAGTCTCCTGCCTCAATCTCCCAAGTGCCTGGATCTCAGGATCTTATCCCATTTTCACATCCAGTCCAATCTCCATGAAATAGTTAAAGAAACTGAGTCTCTGAGGACCAAGCCATCTTGGTCAAAGTCACACTGCTAGTTAAGTGGCAGACTAGGACCAAGCCTCCATGTCTCCCAGCAAAGCCAGGTCACCCACGACTAAGTTGGGTTCTATGATGCCCACAGTTCCAGTCTGAGGATCTGTTTTGCAAAGCTCAGGCTGAGTAATCTAGAACTAACTCATTCCGAGAGAACCCACTTGAAGACCTGACTACCCTACAGCAGATGCAGGCACTTTGGCAATAACGATTATTTTGATTTGGAGACAAATGAAAAGCAACAGATGTAAACAGGAGCTTTTCCAGAGCTTTCTTATCTGACTAAAAGCAATAACTTCTGAGCCATGGAGGTTGCCATAAAGGCCCCTGCCAAGGAATACTTAAGGCCAGGAAGACAGAAAAGGGGTGCTGAGATGGACCTGCACCCTGACGGGTGCACAAATGGACCTCACTCTCCTACTTCCCCCCAGATATTTGCCTCCCCTTAGAAGCCAAAAGCCCCTTTTCCTCCGTTAGGATGCTGTACACGCCTTAAAATTCTAACTACTCACTGTTGAGCTTTCTGTGCTGCGTGTATCACAGCTGTAACAGGGCTGCTACTGGTAGCTTTAGGTGACTTTAGCCTGAATGCCTCAAGGCAGAAGTAGTGAGAGGATGGCTTCTGGCAGCAGGGCTCTCTGCACCCCCATACTCTGACAGCTCCCTTCCCAAAACCAAGGCAGTAGAGCTCTGTGGTCAGCAGCTTGGAGCTTGGCTCTTGGGAGGGCAGTTATTAGGGCTTGTTTGCTGTATGACCTTGGGAGGTCTGAATCTCTTCTGCCTCAGTCCTTATTTGTAAAATGGATTTATTGTGAGGGTGGAAAGATGTGATGTGCATAGAACATATAGCACACTTAGGGAGCACCCAAATGAGCTTTTGCAACTGGAAGCCGACACTGCAGTACTGGGCCATGGGAGCCTGTTTCATTAACTGCCCAGTGGGACTGACCTCAAATCCTACCTCGCCTTTACCTTTCTGTTTCACTGGACAAATAGAGAGAGCCTATTTATTCCAAAGTTACATTTTCTAGCTCTGAGTATACTGGGATTGCAAAACAAGTACTTGAACCAAAATTTCTCCAGAACATGTTTTTCAAAATTCATTTAGTGTCACGTTCCATGGGAGGCTAAGTTTCTGCTCTAGTCACAAATACATTCATTTTTTAAAAAGATGATTTAAGAAGTGATCACCATTTAAGATAAAGTTTGGTTATTCAGGTCAATACGCAGAGCCTTTAAAACAGCATTTCTCAAATTCTGGTAATGTCAGAAATAACCCTGAGAGGTTACTGGGATCAGATTCTAGAGACTCGGATTCTGCAGACCTGGGCTGGGCGGAGACCCCTGTGGTTGCTTCAGGTTCACAGCTGACACTCAGAGCAGTTGCTTTTTATACCCACTCCCCAGCCAAGTTAGACTCCCTTTCAAAGAATTCAAGCCATGGTAGGTAAGTCCATTCTACAAAGCAAGAGTTTTGCACAACTGCTATTTCCCCTGGCTTGTTTATGTGTTTTGGGTTGCTGATTCACTTGTGGAATTTAAAAGTAGTCTGTGAATTTCATTTCAAATATGAAACAGCAACAAAAAACTTAACCTGGGCTGGGGGTTTAGCTCAGTGGTACAAGCACCTGCCAGGCAAGTGCCAGGTCATGAGTTCGATCCCCGGTACCAAAAACAAGCAAACAAACAAACTTGGGCGCCCTTCAGCGAGGAAGCAGTGGATATGGGATAAGGCCAGCAGAAACCAAAGGAAGTAGACGCAGACTTGTAAACCCACCCCAGCCCACAGCCAGGGCACTTACTGGGATTGGCTTTCCGGATCTCACTGTACACCGTGTCTGTGCCCTTGGATCCTAGAACTGGAAGAGGGACCAGGCACAAGTTAGTAGTTGTTTATCAGTTCCAGGCCAGCACATTGCTATATCTACCACCTACCCCAGCCGTGTCTGTGTCCAGCAGTGCCAAGACCTTGTCAGCCACAGAGCATCCTGGCCTAACCAGTGTTACTCTCACACTAGAAGCAGGAAGTCAACAGGCACCCTCTCTCCCCGACACAGCAACTCTGTGCCAGCTGCTTTGCCTCTCAATTTCCACAGAGTCTGGACCCCAAAATCTAGACCTGGATCCCCCTTGGTCTGGCTTGGAGCCTGGTATCACAGTGGGTATGACAATCAGCTGGGCCTGAGGGAGGCTGCCAGTTCCAGGCAGCTGGACTTGCTAAGAATCCACTGCAGAATCTGAGTGTGCTGGCCCAGCCCTGGAGCTGGTGATTCTAAGAGCTCCCTAGGAGACTCTAATAGGCAGCCAGGGTTGGGATTCTCTGACTAGACTATCTTAGAACAGCTGTGAATTACATCCAGAGGTGACTTTCAGGCTTGGGAGATAACCAACACTCATTTTTTTCATGCTGAGGTGCATATACCCATGCATATACACATACAGTGTGTATAACCACAAGCCCTGTGTAAACCCTCATACAGCATTCACACGCACAGTGTACCTACAGATGTGAATAGCATGCATGCACATTTGTACACAGTAACCACACTCCTACGTGTAGACACACATGTATGCACACACACACACACACACACCTGAGGAAACAGGATGGAATCTGACCACTTCCCCAGCTCCTGACAGCTACATGAAAGGCCAGGAAGTGTCACTGTAGAATGGAACCTGATATGGATGGGCCCAGATGGGAAATGGGAGCCCATGGTGGGGATGGTGCTTTGGAGAGAAGGCGGGTGGCCATGCTTGAGGGCCTAATGTCTTGTGAATCTCACTAACCCCAAGTCGTACTGGGGTGGCCAGAAGATCTTTCTGGTCACCAACACTCTTTGGGCCCGTGTAGGACCGCCTGACTCCCTCCTGTCACCTTGTAACTCATAGCCATGATGGCATGAACGGTTTCTGCTGGATGAGCTGCACCCCTGGTTTTTCTTGCTGCCCAGTTCCCTCCCATCCTGCCCAGCTCAGCTGCTGTCTCCCCTCCCTCTCGCTGCCCTGTGGCAGCAGCTGCCTGCTGATGAGTAAACCAGGCCAGCAGGCTGTTTGTCTCGGCTGTCAGTTGTGTTTCCGGATGGAACTATATTTTAGCCTCTGTTTTTCTCTGGGTAAAAGGGAAAGAGATTGCTTCAACGTCATGGGGTTTTCCCAGCAATTAGTCTCCGAGCAAACATGCAGCAAACTGGGATTTAACAAGTTCCTTCCCGTCTCTTCTCCAGTCACAATGAACACTTGGTCAGCTGCCAGCAGGGTTAGAGCTCTGTGTGGTTGGGGGCAGGGGTTTGAGAACAGGACATTGTGTTAGTCAAGAGCAGGTCACGTTAACCCATCACTGGCCTTGGACCCACACAGGCCTCTCTGCACTTCACTCCCCTTCTGTGGGAAGGCAAAGGGCCAACACAGAGGCTCACTCCTGTCCTCCTCACTGTCACTTAGCTCCAAGGGGCAGAAAACTCAAGTCGGAGCCTGTAGATCAGTGGTTGCGAATTTATGGCACATGTGCTGCAGCAGGCTGTTACCATTGAAAGCTCTAAAAGGTTTGCCATCACCACTCCAGAGGCTCCCTGTTGCTATCCAAGTGACGCCAGTTCCAGGCCTCCCCCTGCTGCGCACCAGCACCTTTATGCAAGGTGGGAAAAGAACCAATTGGTCTGGATACAACTGTGTGTGCGGAGCTCAGCAAGAAAAGCATAAGGTAGTTTCCTGTGCTTCACCCCATCCCAGGAATTTTGAGCTTTCACTTTCCCCTCAATTCCTTTCTACCTTTAAGCAAGAAAATCAGATGCCACTGATGTGAACATGCTCCCAAAGAATGGGAAATGCACACTTTTCCAAGGCCAGAGCCCTGGATTCTTCTTCATTCATTCTTCCACTTCTTAAACTCAAAGCCTTCCAGCTTTCTGCACAGCCGTTAGTTCCACCAGTCCAGCCCCATCAGGAGGAGAGCAAAGGCAGGGTCTGGCCCTGTGCGGGAGAACCCAAGGGCAGGTGCCAGTGTCCGGGATAACAGGAGATTCCACGTGTGCCGCAGACAGAGGACATGCAGGAATTTGGTCTCCCCTGCCCTCGGGCTGTGCCATCTGCTGGAGCACTCAGTAGAATGGAAGCTCATGAAGAGGACAGAAGAGCTTCCCCATTTATATTTAGAGTCTGCGTGTGTCCTGCTCCCTTGTCACCCCTCTGTTTTCCTTCCAAACCTGACATCCCTTAGGAGGAAGAAGCTGTACCCAGCCCAGGATTCACAGCGAGGAAAGGGTGGGTGGATTCATCGGTGAAGACGGGTGGGCGCCTGTCCCTTCCTTCCCAGCCCCCTCTGACTCATTTCTGAGCACCGTTCAGGCAGCTCTTAGGGACAGGCTATATTTGGCAAGGTTCTACTCCAGGATAGAAATCTGAACAAGCTAGGCTTGGTGGCATAGCCCCATAATCCCAGAACTCTAGGAGGCTGAGAAGGGGATCACAAGTTTGAGGCTAGTCTGGGGAACTTAGCAAGACCTTGTCTCTAAAAGAGTTAAAAGCAGGCTCGGTGTGCAGTGCAGTCACTGCCTGGCACCCAGTGAATGCTAAGTACATATTACCTGTGCCAAAATTAATGTCTCAGCTGCTGCCTTAGGTACGTACATCCAGGACCTCTGCTGACCTTCTGAGAGTCCCTTCTCACAGCACAACTCCACCCCCACCCCAGCATTCACACCCCACCCCAGAGCAAGGCATGGGCTTGGCTCACTCCAGGGCCCTACTTACCTTGCTGGGGGTCTGCTGAGGTCACTTGCACTTCTGTGTACTCCACATCTGAGTTCATAGGGTCTGCTTAAAGGAACCACAGCACCCTGTGTTTAGACAGCACTGTCCTTGGGGCACCAGGCCACATTAGGTATGTTCATTCCAATCAGGATATTAGTCGGAATATTACAGGGTGCCAGATACACTCAGGCTTAATTCTATTCTAGGGGAAGAGGAAACCTTAGCCTGTGGAAGTCAGGATGAGCCCTGCCTGGTGGCAGAAACAGGGCCTTGGGACGGGGGTCACTCTCCATCTCCCTGACCCTTAGATACTGATAGACCCTCCTGGTGAGGTCCTGGTTTCTACAGTGGGAGGACTTCTAGGTCAGTAGAGATCAGCTATGGCAGCCAAGTCCAGTCTCACTCAAAATGCTGAAGGCTTTTGTGCTGGAATGCTTTCGATGCCAACCCCAGGGACACAGGAGGAGACCTCAGGAAGTGTGCCGGGAAGAGGGTCACCAGCCAAGACTGCTTTGAGAATGTGAGGCATACAAGGCAAAGAATCGTAAGCACCATTGCTCAGGGTGCTTTGGAGAGATCCAGGAAATCAGTTTGTCTTTAATTCAGATTATTCAGAATAATCAGGGATTCCTTCCTGATTAAACTAGTGACTAAATCAATAATCTATAGTCAAGGATAGTTACCAGAAACAGGACTTTCTTTCATGTATTTTCATAGTTGCAGCTTCCATGACAGCAGTCCAGAGTAGAAAGGAACTTTAAAATGTTATTTACCCTGAGCCCTCTGAGTATTAGGCAGAAGCAAATTATTTGTTGTTAACTGTCTTAAAAAGTCTCCAACTCAGTTCTACCCAAGCCCATTTGGAATAGAGACGCAGCTCTTTAGCTAAGACCTATGTCAGGCCTTGTATCTAGAAGTCCCCTAAGCCTCCTGCACATACAGGTAGGGCTTTGGGGAGTGACTGGCTCATGGGTGTGTGACGGTGGATTCACCCACTGATTGATTCAGCATAATTCGGGGTGTGGGAGGCACCAGTCCATGGTCTGGATGGAATAAGAAGGAAGGTTTGGTGCTTCCTGCTGGCCATGGGTGGTTTTTCCTTGTCATGTCCCCCTGCCATGCTGCCCTGCCTTGAAGTCAGCCAACTATGGACTGAAACCTCCACAAAATGTGAGCTAAAATAAACCTTTCCTCCTTTAACTTGTGGGTATTGGGTATCTCAGCGATGCACAAGCCAACCTGGTTGGATTTAGGACACCAGACAGTAGCTTTAGAGAAAGCACCTGGGCATAGCCATTTTACACATGACTTAGTCACGGGACCATTAAAAAGGCTGGAAGCAGCCTGCTGCCCCACAGTTTTAGTGTTCTTTTTTCTTACAGGTCTTTCATTTTTTAATGCAAAAGTTTGTAATAAAACACTCAGATAATTACCTTTACTTTCATTTGGTTGCTTCATCACATGGTTTCCAACTTCATCATTGTAACCTAGTTGAAAAATAGCAATTTCGATGAGTGACAATGGAAATTCTAGTTTTCTGTAACTTTAAAAATTCAGCCAGGCTGGGTGTGGTGGTGCACGCCTGTAATCCCAGCACTTGGGAGGCTGAGGCAGGAGGATCCCCATGATTTGAAGCCAGCTTGGACTACATAAACAATTTCAAGGCCAGCCTATACTACATAATGAGGCCCTGTCTCAAAAGGACAATAAATAAATAGACAAGCACACAAATAAATAAATCAGCCAGGCATGGTGGTGCATGCCTGTAACCTTAGCAATCTGGGAGGCTGAGGCAGGAGGATCATCAGTTTGAGCCCAGCCTGGGCAAATGAGCAAGATGAGCAAGATCCTGTCTCAAAATTAAAAAACACAAAGAGCTGGAAATGTAGCTCAGTGTGAAGACTAAATCCAATCTCCAGTACCACAAACAAACAAACTAACCAGCCAACAAAAAACTTACTTTCTGAGATACTATTACAGAATTAGAGGGAAATGTGGGCATATTATTCACATACTTGGTGATAAAGAAAGAAAACTCTAAATGTGGTCTGGGGCAGAAATTTTTTTATGATATAATGATAGCCCCTTCTTGGAGGTAATTAGCATCCCCACTGAAATGCTTAAGCAAATTTCTGACAGACCAAATAAGATTAAGGGAGGCAGGGAGTGATGGTGCATTTACTGTATCTCTGAAGAGTGGCCAAAATCCTGCCTGGTGTGGTGGCACATGCCTGTAATCCCAGCACTTAGGAGGCTGAGGCAGGAGGAGTCCCATGATTTGAGGCCAGCTTGGGCTCCATAAGCAATTTCAAGGCCAGCTTACACTACATACTGAGACCCAAAACACAAAAACACAAAACAAGAACACAAACAAGAATTGTTTAAAAAAAAAAAAAAAAAGAACAGTTTGGACTGGCTACCCCCCTAAGTGGACCTGCAAGCTTGGGGTGAGCCTCTTAATGAGTATCCTTTCACTGGGTTTCTTTTCCTTTTTTTTTTTCTGTTAATGTTTCCACTAAGAGCAAAATCTTTGTATTAGTTTTCCTTTTGTGGAACTCAAATTATTTTATGCTGATAGTAATTCCATGCTTTATCAGGATTTTGATTTGCTAACTGGCCTTTGTCTTGCAAATGCAAAATGTTTATCTTTGGACAATATTCAACTTTTGATGGTATCAAGGTATTAAGATGACTCTGCATTTTTCATTTCACAGGACATTGAGAAAGTGGTAGACCTTCCTGTGAGCCTGTGCAAGCCAAGAGAGGTGCAAACCAATTCATCCTTCCGTGAGTTAACAAGAGGCCAATTCATCCTTCCTGTGAGCCAACCAGCACAAAGCCTGGGAGACAAGCCCCCCAGGCTGAGTAGTTAGCAACTGAGATACAAAAACAACTTAATGCTTGTATTGTTTGATTGACTTTGTAGACCTACGGCCAATAGTCTAAGCATCTATTAAGGGGATAACAATATGCAATATAACAAATATGGGGGAATTTCCTTCTGTCTTGTTTTTGAAATACAATATTATTCTCACTGCTTCATTTGGCTCTGTTTTATTCAATGCTCTGTTTTGATTGCTTTTATTCTGTTTTGTTTGATTTTGTTATGCCTGGTGATAAGGGCAGCAATTTTGAAGATAAGAAGAGGCATTATGGTAGCCATGGTTGATTTCCTTTATCTTGCTTTGAAATCCTGTATCACTTTCACGGCTTTGTTTTGATTTGCTTTATACTGTTTTATTTTGTTTGGTTTCATTCTCTTTAAAATACACTTTCATTCTTTTTTAATTGATTTTATGCTGTTTGGTTTGGTTTGGTTTTACTATGTCTGATGGTATGGACAGCTATTTTGAAGAAAACAAAAGATTATGGTAGCCAGCACTGATTTCCTGTTATCTTGTTTTGACGTTTTCTATAGCTTTCATTGTTCTGTCCTGATTAGCTGTTTGTTTGATTTGATTCGCTTAAAAAAAAAAAAAAAAAACGAAGGTGGTGGAAATGACATAAAATGTTTGCCTTTCAATTTCTTTTTGCTTTGGTTGTTGTTAAGTCACCGTTCAATGGGGGATTAGATAGGTATCCTGGCTTGAAGCCCAGGGTTTTTCTTCTAGGTTTGTTTTGTTTTGTTTTGTTTTTTGGCACCTGGATTGAACTCAGGACCTTGTGCTTGCCAGACAGGCACTGTGCTCCTGAGCTCTACCCCTGGCCCTTTTCTCCTATGTACAGGTAAACTCTTAGCAATTCAAGGAAACCAGGACTTTACCGTAATGACTGTTGGCTTCGATGTCAGGCTCTGACACCTTTTCATTATTGGATTTCAGAAGCGGTGCTGCTGGCCTTAAAACAAAAGTTCAAAAGGAAATACATATTAAGCATTTTTCACTCTAAGCCCAAACCAACAAAATCACTAAAGGAAAATCATAAGAAAGCAGGAAGAGCTTTCCAGAGGAAGTAAAGCTTTACTTGTTCATTTAAGAAATGGACACATTTTTCAGCTCTAAGACTAACTGACCCAACTTTCTGCTTTTGCATAAGTGTCAGGCCCAAAGACTACATGAATACTGAGTCCTTTACTAAGCCACTCTCATTTCTTTCTTTCTTTTTTTGGGGAGGCAAGGGCATATGGGGAATAGAACTCAGGACCTTGCATTTGCCAGGCAGGTGCTGTGCCCCTGAGCTATATCCCCTACCCTAGCCACTCTCATCCTGTGCTGCTGTTTCTCTCTACAACACAGCAATTATTTCTTTCTTTCTTTTTTTTTTTTGTCTTTTTCTTTTTTATCAGTACCGGGAATCGAACTCATAACTGCCTGCTTGCAAGGCAGGTGCTTATGCCACTGAGCTAAATCCCCAGCCCCCAGCAATTATTTCTGTACTCATGAATTTTGAATATCAAGAACAGTAAAGACAGTAAAGAAAAAAATTAAGGGCCAGTTCTACTCGGATAGTAAGCTAAATTGTCATTTTCCTTCTACTTCCATGATAATTTCATAAAGAAAAGTGGATTCACAAATATTTGTCTAGGCCAGGTGTGGTGGAGCACAGCTGTAATCCCAGAGCTTAGGAAGCTGTGGCAGGAAGATCGCTGCACGTTTGAGCCCATCCTGTACTACGAAGTGAGCTCAAGGTCAGCCTGAACTACACAGTGAGACTGTACCTCAAAAAGACAAACAAACAAATATTTGTCTAAAAAGGACATGATCTCAGCATAAAAGCCATTTCCTCCCATTAAAGGATATTTGGCAATCACCCATTAAGACTCACATACACACACACACTTCACACCCAAAGCTCACTGATCTGAATTTTCCAAGACTCTGAACTACCCAATGACCAAACTCTCCCCACAGCTACATCTAGCCATGCCCACAAAGCAGCTGCCCACTCTTACAAGGACACTGACCTGGACATTTCCACAGGCACCTGCTTGGCTTTAAACAAAGAAAAAGAAAAACCAAGATCAATATAAGGTTTCCATGTGCATACCAGAGGAATAGTCATTTCAACCACATTTGACTTTCCTGAAGATTGTGCACCCATAAAAAGGAAGAGGAAAGGGCTGGGGATGTGGCTCAGTGGTAGAGCTTTTGCCTTGTGTGCACAAGGCCCTGGCTCCATCCACACACACAAGAGAAGAAAAAGAGGGAAGAAAGCTAGATATACTCATGTCTGAAAAAGAAAGGAAGTCAGAAAAGGGAAAGAAAGCAAGAGGTACATTCTTGAGCTGGGCTCAGTGTTAATCCCAGCTATTTGGGAGGCCGAGGCAGGAGAATCATGAGTTTAAGACCAGCCTGTGCAACATAGACTTCATTTCAAGGAAGAGGTGATTTCCTTGGTCTTAAACATGGATTTCACATCATTTCCCTAGATATCTTGACAATTTGATTCCTTCAGACAGAAGCAGTTTTGGTAGTAGGATGTGATAGAAATGAAGACAGTGGCACATAAGGGGGCATTTATCTCTTCAATTTAAGACAATTCCAGGGGCTGGGGATTTAGCTCAGCAGCATAAAGCACCTGCCTTGTAAGCAGGTGGTTGTGAGTTCAATCCCGGGTACCAATTAAAAAAAAAAAAAAAAAGACAATTCCAAAAATTAAAGCCTAAGTTGATCCTTGAACTTTTATTTCCAGGGTATCTTGAGACCAAGGTCAGGATCAGCCTTGGACGCTGTTTCGTTGGAAGCCATCTCTTCCCAGGGAGTTACTTGTCTTGCTTGAGAAAAAAACAAACCCAGGGTCTCTCCTTGTCTTAGTTAATTTCTTATTGTTGGGACAAAATGCCTGATATCTTCAAGTTAAAGGAGGAAAGGCTTACTTTGGCTCACGGTTTATAGGAGTTTCAGTCCCTACTCAGCTGCCTCCAAGGCAGGGCGGCATAGCAGAAGAGAGGCAGTTCATAGTGTGAGCAAGCAGAGAAAGCACGGAATACTCAGGGCAGGAGGGACAGATACAGATACACCCAGGCCACACTCACAGTGACCCACCTCCTCCCGCAGGCACTGCCTGCTAGCATCAGCTACAAACCCATCCGTGGACTTATTAGGTGTCACACACCATGATTCTGACACCCCAAAACCCCACCTGTAAGACTTTGGGGGGACATTAGGCACAAGCCATAACATTCCTTACCCCATTTGCATCTCACCTTCTAAGGCCACAGCACCAGAGCTTCCAAAGAACCCACCTAACCCCATAAAACTTTTTGTTCAGAATGTACTGGTGAGGAATTCTTTCCCTTGAATCTTAGATCAGGCTCCTGAGAGCAGGAGTTCCCAAATTCTCATCCATGTTTGGCTAATCCCAATTAAAGGGCAGAAGTCATGGCACTACTGACAGCTTAACTGGGAGGCACCCAGCACATGCATGCAGGGTATGGTGTATGCACACACACATACGTGTGTACACTTGTGTCTGTGACACTCACTACCGGTTATAGGACCAGATGTGGCCACACCCCACAAGAACAGCTTCTTCTGACCACATGAAGATGCAACTTCTCCCATATTCCCCTCCGCTGGTTGCCCAACTAGGAAAGCAATCACTCTTATTTCCGCCTTGCTAAATCTAGGGGCAACAAAATCTCCATGCTCATTGAAGCCAGAATCTTTGGTTATCAAGGTGAAACCACGGAGAAACCTAGTGACTGCTCCCCAACTCCCTCTGGGGCATTGCACACTCATGGCCAGTTTCCTGGCAAGGACCTCATGTCACCAAGTGGGGAAGGGAACTGTGCTCACCTTTAGCTTTCCTTAGTACATAGCACTTGGCTCCAACTACCAGCGTGGCAATCACCACTCCAATGACCACAACTGCAATAAGTCCTTTCTTCCACGAGGCAAGAAAGACTGGAAATGGAAAGAGAAAGAAGAGGGAATATGTTGGTTCTTTCTCTGCCAGCAAGAAATAATACTAGGTTTAAGCAACAATTAAGACTGATTTTATGAGTTTGTGTTTTTTTTTTTTTACACTGTCACTCACATGCCCACTTTCTTCTTGGGTATGAAAGAGGTATTTAACTGTGTAACACTTTCTTTCCTACAGTGGAATGCCACAGCTGCTACGATTGACAGACCAGTAGCTGTGGACTGATTTTATGAGTTTTGTAACTAGTGTCTAACCTTGGCATCTCCTTGGCATCTGCAGGTGCAAAATTGGTTTTGTCTGTTATAGACTGAGCTTAGCTGTAATCTCCAAGGAGGGGTCAAAACAGTTTGCTGGGTAGAGTCCACATTTGGAGTATCTGTTCCTCTGCTCTTCTTCCCTAGGAAGCCACCGCCCTTTCCCCCTAACCATGTCCCATCTGTGTGACCCAACTCCCACAGTGGCAGATGTGACCCAAGGTGAGTCACTCAGTGTGGATCTGCAAGAGTTTAGTGTTGGGACTGCATGAAGTCCTTCCAATTCCTTACACACCACTCCTCTTTCTACTGTTAATTTGAGTGGGTTTCGATCATTTCCAGTGGGAAGAGCCTGAGGACAAGTGTTGTCTTCACCCTTGGTCACTTGAGCTGGACTCCCACTCAGCCCTCTTTCACGGGATGGGCCTTCTGCCCTCCCGAGAGCCCACGCTGCACCTTACCCTTGAGACCCTGACTCACTTTTGACGGTCAGCCTGTTGCTCTGGGTGCTGCTCTGGGTGCTGCTCTGGGTGACACTAGCTTTGTTGGAGGCCACACAGTGGTACCGCCCCTCCTGCTCCTTGCTAGCCTGCTCCTTGTACCAAATTACAGAGGTGTCATTTGAGGTGATTTGGTGGAAGGGTTTGTGCTCCTCGTCCTTGTAAAACTTGTATGTGATTGGAACGGTCCCTTCGTTCACGGAGCACTGAAGCACAATTTCCTTCCCAGACTCCACCTCGGGGTTCCTCAGGATAGTAAGCTTGACCTGGGTCACTGGGGCTGCAAGCAGGAAAAGGGTTAGCACCGAGCAATGATGGCTGGCCCCCGCCTGGGGTGACTCGGATCTGGGGTGTGCCTTCGTTGAAGTCATTCCTCCCACCCCTGCAGAGCAGTTGATGGCACTCTGTCCTCACTCACTGATTAAATGTGAGCCCGAGGGCAGCTCCTCTGAGGACTGCTGACCGCTCAGTTAGGCCTGCCTGTGAGTTCTGCGTGCGTGCAGGTTTAGATCTTACAGATAACTTGGATTCCCTGGCTGCTCAGGCTATCATTTGATTTTCTTGTTTGGCCTCTGTGCTTTCACAACCCGATTCCCCACTTCCTTATTATTGAAATCTAGTTTCTACCACATTTTTTTTTTTTCGAAACTGCGTGGTATCTGTGATTTCAGAAAAAGAGAAAGGAAGGCCCCCAAAGTCTGTGTGATTCTCAGAGCGTGGGCCTGCAGATTAAATGCAATAGTGAATGTTTGTTTGTCCACTTCCCAACCGTGGCCTCTCACTTTGCACTTCCTGTTGAACGGGGCTTTCTCTGGCCTTCCGTGCTACCTCAAGATTCTGATTCTCCTCCACCCAACCCTGCCGCTCCTCCTCCACCTCTTTTTGGCTTGTTATTTTGACTCTGAAATATGAATTTTCTGGAAAGTTAGTCTCCAGATTTCCATCCCGTTCTTTTTGGTGATTTCCCCTATACCCTTAGCTTCTGCTTCTGGGCACTGAGATCTAAACAGACAGCCCCCTTTCAGATTGCTCGCTGGGCATTTTCACCAGGCCAGCCGAATGCCCAGAGGGTCCAAGCAGAACCCATCTTTCTCCCATGAGCCCTTCTCCTCAGCAGCACGTTCGACCACCTAAGTTCTGATCCTAAATTGTCTTTCTTCCCAGATAGACCTTCCTCCCTGTGTGAGAGCGGGCTGGCGGGCAGATGGGCACTCTAACCCACACCACCCTCTCATGAGTACAGGAGTTTTGAGAACATGGAGCTGCTGGCTGGAGGAGGCTGAGTACCAGGTGTGGGACGGTAGTGGTCTCATACTAAAGCCGGTGGCAGAGGATGTGGCCCGACCTCTCTCACTCTGCAGCACAGTGGGTAGAGGCTTAGAGCCAGACTGTCTGGGCTCAGATCCCACCCCCCAGCTATTTGCCTTAATTGCTTCATCATAAATCAAGGCTACCACTACAAGTCTTAGTTGCTAGGAAGCACGAATGGGGATAATTTACTGTAGTACTTCACTCAGGCTTGGACTATAATCAGAGCTCTGTAAATGTTGCTATTGATGATGACACAATTTATTTTTTGTGGGAGGAGGGCACTGGGGTTGAACCAAGGGCCTTTGCCCTGACTCACATCGCCAGCCCTTTTAAGAAATTTTATTTCTTATTTTGAGGCAAGGTCAAGCTAATTTGGTAAGTGTCCCAGGTTAGGCTTCAACTTGCAATTTTTTTTGCTTTAACCTCTCTGAGTTCTTGGGTTGTAGCCATGTCCTATCACACCCTGCATGTCAATTTAATTTCAACCAACAGCTTCCCATAGGCTTCTGCATTTGCCTCTAAACATATTCCGGGGCAACCCACTTTCTGGGTCTCTTTCTGTCTCTCTCAGGAGCCATCTCTCCCTTAATAAAACTTCCTACTCTAAAAACAAAACAAAACAAAACTCCCAAGGACAGGATGGCACATAGCTATAATCCAAGCACTTGAGCATCTGAGGCAGGAGAACTGCTGTGAGTTTTAGGCCAGCCAGGCTATATAGTAAGTTCAAGAGCAATGGGGGGGGACCCTCGGGATTTAGCTCAGTGGCATAAGCACCTGCCTTGCAAGCAGGCAGTCGTGAGTTCGATCCCTGGTACCAATAAAAAAAAAAAAAAAAAGAAAGAGTAATTTGGAATACATAGTGAGACTGTATAAAACAAAACAAAATAGCAAAACTCCAAAACTCAAACAAACAAACCCCAAAAGGAACATTTAAAACCAAAGCTAAAAAATAGCAATCAAAACAAAAAAAAAAAACCCAAAACCAAAACTGTGTCCTGAAGTCTCCGCTTCTTAATGACACGGTCCGTAGATCAGTCTTCCAAGAACTCACGCTTATCAAGTCTTTTTTCTTCTGGCTCTTCACTGCACCGCGTAACATGCAGTTCATAAGCTGCATGCAGTGATAGCACACAGCTGTTAAAGGAAGATGCCAAGGGCCTAGAGGAGGAAACTTAGCAAAGCTCCCTACCCTAGACGCATCACATCTAAGAGATGCAGCCAGTGGAACGCCCAAGGTCTTCTGAGGGGCCAAGGACAGAGGCTTCAGGAAGCATAATCACCTTCAAGATAGGAGAATTCCAGGCAAATGTACCAACTCTCATCAGACCAGGGCCTGCGGCTCTGACTGCTGCAGGCTCTACATGGGACAGAGCTTTCCAGCTGGGTCACCAGTCGAGAAGCATCTTCAATCCTCCTACAGTTCTCAGGGATGCCTCTCCACTCATCTGATTTTTTGTTTTGTTTTGTTATTTTTTGAGACCAGGTCTCACTATATAGTCCAGGTTGGCCTTGAACTCACAGGGATTCCTCTGCCTTAGCCTACCAACTACAGTGATTCGGGCATGAGCCACCATGCCTGGCCTCTCCATTCACCTGAAAAGGAGCAAAAGTCAAGGCAGCCAAACCCCCAAATTTAGTGCTTCCTAAATTCAGGACATATTCCCTTGTGTTTTATTTCAGCAGTTCATTTAAAAGGTCTGCAAAGATATTATACTGACCACATCAAGAGGTCTCAGTGTTTTCCAATCCTGTTTCCTGGGTCTGGTCATTTGTTGTGTTTGTTTTTGGTACTGGGAATTGAACTCATTGACCTCGCACACACCAAGCAGGTGCTTGTGTCGCTGAGCTAAATCTCCTGCAAGATCTGGTTATGCTTTAATGCATATCTGGTTTATAGACTTGGCACAAGTCTCACCCACTTATTTTACTGACTCCACCACCTTTGGGCAACCCCAAATCTCCCCCAAAATGTCAACCAAAGTCCCAACCCCTTATGATTTCTTCTCATAACACAGCAACTTACCTATCACCTTGATGCTCAAAACCTCGCTAGACACTTCAGGGTGGGAGTGACAGTTATCTGCAACGCACTTGTATTCCACATCTTTGGTTGGGCTGTCCTGGAATACTGCAGGATCACTTGAGTTCTTTGTAATAGTCTCTAAAACATCACTTCCTTTTAAAAGGTAATAAGTAATAGGTAAAGTTCCATTTATGGATTGGCAACTGATTCTTACAGCATGTCCTTTTATGATCTCGGACTTAGTGTTGTGAAAAATCCTGGGTTTGGAGATATTTCCTAGAGAGAGAGAAAGAGAGAGGGAGAAATGACCTCAAGGACAACAAAGCAATGCATCCAGCCCTGGAGCTTCCTTCTCAACTCTGGTCTTTTGTTTCTACCATGATAATTTGAAATTCCTGATTGCCTTATGAGAGGGAGAGAGAGAGAGAGAGCATGTATATTTAGTAATGAGGAAAAGAGAAAGGCCTAGCATGTGTGAAGCACTGGGTTTGATTTCCAGTACCACCACACACACACACACACACACACACACACACACACACACACACAAAGCTGGGGGTGTAGCTCATTGTGAAGGCTCTGGATTCAGTACCCAGAGCCCCCTGACACTTGCGCATGCACACACACAAGTGATGTAGGCAAAATAAAGGACACAAATTCAAGGAATCATTACATCCCCATACGTGCATGTTTATATCTTAATATAGCTCACTTCCTATATTAAATATATATGTTTTTGGTGTGTGGAACAAAATCACAGAAAAGCACACAAAATGTATAGAAAGGATTCAAACAGAATATGTCTGGAAATAAACTCTAGGGCACTGGGCAGAGTGGTACACACCTAATATCCCAGCTACTGGAGAGGCTGAGGCAAGACAAACGCATTAGAGGTGAGCCTGGGCAACTTAGCAAGACTCTGTGTCAAAAAAATATTTTAAAAGGGCTGCAAATGTTGCTCAGGGCCAAGACCTTTGGTTCTATCCTTAACACCACTAAATAAATAAGAGAAAAGAATCAGAGGCAGTGACCTCACGGGGGTTCCATGTCCACTTAGGACCTCAATACTCTGTGGTCCAGAGGCTGAAGCATTAGCATCACCCGTCCTAACTTCTGGAATTAGAAGTTGTATTTTAACCAGGTCTTGTATTCACTTCAAGTCTGGGAAGCTGGCTTTTCATTCTACCCACAGGAAGTCCAACCCTTTCTGCTTAGTGAGATATGGATAAAAACTAGATCTTTTCAGATCTTTTGTTTTAATTTTTAAAATTAATTAATTATTTGGTTTTCTTAAAAAAATTATGTTGCAGTACTGGGAATTTTTGCTAAGCTACCTCCTCATCTCTTTTTCAATTTTTAATTTTGTTTCAGGGTCTCATTAGGTTACCAAGTTGCACAGGCTAGGCTGGAACTTGTGGTCCTCCTGCCTCAGCCTCCTCTCACACCTGGCCAAATCCCTGAACTTGACATCGGGCAGCAGTATCCTCCCTGTGTGGCCCCTCTTGTGTGCTCTGAGCAGGAATACCATCGCTCTGCCTGGATCTCGAATTCCCACGTTTCTTTCCCTCCTGTTCTTGCCCAGCCGGAAACTGGTCTGCCTGCTGACCCAGGAGGGTGGCACCAGTGGTCTGTTTCCTTCCTCCCACTCACTCCCAGATGCTCTCGGAGCCCGCAGGGACACACTCACCACACACTGTGATCTGGACGGCGTTGCTTTTCTTGACCACTTTGCCAATGCCTGCAGTGCAGGTGTACGTCCCGCTGTCCCCCGCTTCAGCGATCTTGGTGAAATTCTGGGCCTGTGACACGATCACGCCTTCCTTGTGGATGGTGAAGTTGGCTGGAGGGGCTTTTGGGATGGAGCACAGCAGGTCCAGCCTCTCACCTTGGTCCACACGGGTGGACAAAGACTCCAGCTTTGGTTTGGGAAACAGTTCTGGAAAACATTGGGAGGGAAAGGGGCGAGATGTGGCTGGGCATCAACCCAAGCACCTGCCTGGGGAGGTCCACAGCCCTGCTCCTCTGGGCAGAACCAACCCCACCTTCCTGCAGAAAGTCTGCCTTTGATCCTTAGGCACCTGTTGAGCAAACTCTCAAAGAGCCTTGTGTGTGCCTGGGACCCAATGAGAGGCTCTGCTCGCTAGACAATCCAACTCATTTCACAGATATGGATAAGAGCAGTTTCATAACTTGCAAAGCATCAAGTACTGATTTACTCGTGCATCCACTTATTAACTAATCAATTAATTTATTGATACTGGGAACCGAAGTTAGGACCTCGTGCTTGCCAGGTAGGTGCTGTGCTGCTGAGCTGTATCCCCAGCCCCTCATTATTTGTTTACTCACACATTTCACTTCACAAATACTGACTGCAGATCATTTCTGCGGCAGGCACCTCGCTAAACATGGGGGGAAGAGTCCTGGACTTCAAAGTGCTTTCGTTTGGCCAGTGATTTAGACTTGGTGCGTGCGCTAGAGCCTATAAAAGGAGCACTGGACATCACCTGGGAAGCCTGAATAAACTGCCACAGGCTGCTCCATTTGTATCTGGGAAGTGCTGGCCTCAGATAGCTCCCTATTCCCAATAACTCGCCAGCATACAGAAGGTGTTCAACATACACTGAATTAATACTTCTCTCTAATACGGTAATATAAATGGTAACAGTGAAAAATATCATAGGCCATCGGCACACTTGTCATTCCTGACAATTTGCTAAACTGTTAGCAAACAGTAGGGTTTAGCAAGATCTAACATTGGCTGCTGACACAAGGGCCGCTTGACTCTCCAGGGGTTTTTTTCTGAGTGAATGAATGGGTGTATGCGTAAAAACACCGGCCCCAGGGATCCCAGAAGTGGACTTTCTAAGTTCTTGGAAACACAAGAAACACACTGTATCTACCTTAGGTAATATGTTATTTAGAGAGAAACAAAGCCAGGCAAGGGAACAGAAGTCAGAGGGAACCTTTAAGTACATAGTTGTGGAGAGCAAAAAGGCCTGGGGGCGATTCCAGTCCCGCCCCGTGGTGATCCTGCAGTCCTCAGTCAGTTTCTAACTTCCCAGTCTGTTTCTACACCCACAAAGTGGGCATGAAATCATCTTCCTCCTGAAGTTTTATGAGCAAGAAATAAAAATGCATATAAACCTTTGTACAGAGTTCCAGGATGGAGAACTGGTCTGATTTTGTTTTTGTTTGCTGATTTTTTTTTTTTCATTCCCAACCCTGTCACAGGACCTGTGTGTGGGATTTAACACAGTGCTTGGCACTGACCTAGGAAACAGCAAGTTCACATTTCATTTGATTGTTACACCAGCCCTAAAACGGGAATGCCACGGCCACCTCCCCTCACAGCGCTGTGGCAAGTCCAATACTACTCCCCCCCACTAGCCCTCAGGAAGTGGACAGCAGGGCTGGGATTTGGTGCCAGAGCTGCGCACTCAGCCACTACAGTCCAGCACTTCTCCCCACAGGCACCAAAGCCTGGACTGAGCACCCTCATCTGAACGAGCACAGGCAGAAAAGGCCCGGCTCTCACTGGCCATCCCGGATTGCAGCATGACTGTCTTCTGAGCCCGCCACGAGCCAACGTCCCCCCAGGGAAGCCCTACCTATGACATTGACCACGGTGCTGTTGACCTTGGACAGGCGACTGGACTCCACTTTGCACGTGTAGTTGCCATTTTGTTCCACCGTGGCCATTACTGAGTAGACGGTCTCATGGCCCTGTTTGCTGCTGGCCACAATTGTCTTGTCCTTCAGAATGATGATTTCTGGAGTCTCGCGGGCCAGGTGATTCACCTGAGTGGTGCACTTGATGCTGAGCTGGTCTCCTTCTGTGATGGTCCCAGTGGGGCTGATGTCGAAGCTGGGAGTAGAGAAGGACTCTACAGAGAAGAGGACAAACCAGTTGGACTCAGGTTCAAACCTGGCTCTTCCTACTCTTCTGCTCTCCCTTTGCCACTTCTGCGTCTCCTAATTAATTTTTAGAACTCAACCTTTCCTCTCAATTCCTTCTCTAGGTACCTCGGATTCTCTTTTCCTTCCAGCTCATTTCCATATCTCAGTCTTTTTGATTGCAATTTCTTTTTCGGTACCAGGAATTGAACTCAGGACCTGCTCTTGCTGGGCAGGTGCTGTGTTGCTGAGCAATATCCCTGGCCCTCTGATTGCCACTTCTGACTTCCTTGAAGGCCAAACCCTCAGATTGAACCATAGCAGGTGGAAACGCCTTGGCCTGCTGCTCTTCTAGGGTGTTCTTAAACCATTACAGCATTGCAGCAAGACCAAACCGTAGCTCTCAGGAGTATGCTGCTTCATAGAAATACATTATTTGAATAATAATAATAATAATGATATGCCAAAAAAGCAAATTCTATTCTATTCTACTTGATTTTTTGTTTGTTTGTCTATATAGTTCAGGCCAGCTTTGAACTCACTATGTAGCCCAGGCTGGCCTCAAACTTGCAGCAATCCTCCTGCTTCAGCCTCCCGAGTGTTGGAATTACAGGCGTGTGCCATCACACCTGACAAAATATGTATCATACATAAAATATGTCACAACCCCAAAAGTTTGAAAAGTACTACCAAAATGACTAAGAAGAGACCTTATGTCCCAAGGTCAGCCATCTAGTCCCTTTCCAATTCTTTTTGCCCATCCAGAAACCACACAGAATGATAAGAAGGAAAGCAGGACTCTGACCCCTCACAGTGACATCGTCACTCTCGGAGGTTTTTGAAGTCTCAATTTGGAACCCCAAAGAAATCCTGGCTTCACAGGTAAAATATAAAATATGGTCCTGTTCTCCAATTGGGAATTCCACAGTCACAAAATTCTGCTCCAAAGAAGTCTTCTCTTTTTTGAGTTTGAGAGTTTTTGTATTTTTTTCAAATTTTTCCACTCTGAAATGTATCGGGGCCCTTTCCTCTGGAACAGAACAATTGACGATCACGACCCCGCCTTGGATCGCTTCCTTCTTGTCCAGAGTCACCCTGGGACTCGACACCCCTGGAGAGAAGGAGACAGTCCAGTTAGTACCAGTTGAGTCTAGTGTCATGGCCTTCCTCAGCTGTCACTGTGCCGAGCTGTCTGAGGGTTCCTTTTCCTCCTAAACGCCCACCTCCCCACGCCACAGATATGTACATGGCAGATACTCTGAAAAATATAAAATATGCTCAAGATCTGGTTGGTGCTTTCAATGGTTTACGGTTCCTTTGGGACAATAGGACAATCCCAAACTGAGACAGTTTAAAGATAGAGGAAAAAACAGCCAATATTTATTAGTATTACAATGATTATTGTAATTTATCGAACTCCAACCACAGGCTAGAATTGACTTCAGTTAATTGCATAAACATTCACTGAGCACTTACTTCGAGGCAGATTGCTTGCTCAAGTTATAAAAATAGGCCAAGCACTATCTCTCTTTAAGATTTATAGTCTAGAAGAGCAGACAGGTTCTCTCTATATAGTTCAGGCCAGCTTTGAACTCATGATGTAGCCCAGGCTGGCAGTACATTATAGCGTGTCAGGGACTAACACGCTACTCCAGGGCACACAGCTGGCATTGCAGGACCCATGTGCTGGACTTGATTCCCACTGTACCTGTGGGATACTTTCTCTAACCCCCTGAGCTGAATATCAGTGTTGTTGTCCATTTTACTGATAAGCATTTTGAAGTATAGGGTGGTTAGAGGAATTAGTCAGGTAGAAACCCAGGCGGAGAGACCGTAGAATCTAATTTCTTACCACAGTCCTGTGGCCTTTCAACAAATAAATCCCACTGAATGCAGAGAGAGTACATGAGCAACATATCAATTTTGTTTAAGAAAGTGTCAGAGAGGAAAAGAAATCACTGAGTTGAGCTTTGAAGAAGAAAGTGAAATTGCATATGTTTGGCTATGGTTTTTGTTTACTTGCTTATTTGTACTACTAAAGGCTGAATCAAGGGCCTTTACACTGAACTACCTCCCCAGATGTTTTTTTTTATTTTTTATTTTAAGACAGGGTCTTGCTAAGCCACTAAATTTTTGATCTTCCTTCTCAGCCTCCCAGAGTGCTGGGATGCCAGGCATGTATTATATCACATCCAGCTAGAAAGTATAGCTCTTGAAACAAAATAAAAATAAGAGCAACTGGGTGTACTGGGGAGAGCGTCTATAATCCCAGCGCTCAGGAGGCTGAAGCAGAAGAGTCACTTCAAGCTGGAAGCCAACCTGGGCTGTGGGTTCAAGGTCGCCTGAACTGCAGAGTGAGACCCAACCTCAAAATAGATAAATAAACATAAAGAAAGGCGTATTCCTGGGACAGGAAACAACATGTACAAAGACAAATAAGTTAGAAAGAGCCTGGCACACGAGGAATAGGCTGAATGCCTACACCGTCAGGCTCGGAAAATGCCTCCAGTAAGATGCACACTGGAGGCGGGTGGCACTCCTCGCTCACAATCACTGATCCCGCTTGCTCCCATGAGACACTGCCTGTGCTTTCCTGCACCCAAACCCCAGGACTCACTCACCTGTCACCCTCAGCCTGTTCTCCTCGGTGGTCTTCTTCTTGTTGTTCAGAAGCACAGTGCACTTGTACATGCCTGAGTCATGCGCCCGGGCCTGAGGAATAAGAAAGCTCTCTGTGTTCTTCACGGAGGAAACGTTGTGGACGAGCACATCATCCTTGTAGAACAGCACCTGGTGCTGCGGCTTCACGTGCGACGTGGTGCTGATGTCCACGATGCACTGCAGCGTCAGGTTCTGCCCGTTCTCCACCGTCCAGTCCGGCAGGCTCTGCATGTTGATGCTGTTGATGGTGAAAGCTAAGGCAAATGGAACAAGCACAGACCGTCAGATGCGGCAGCTGCCACTCCGCGTGCGCCTGTCACATCCCGCCCTGGGTCCCCAAAGCCCACAGAGGCCAGGCGCTAGTGACATAGCCAGTGGGTTAAATGCGGGGCAGGTGATACTAAGCTGCTCCCTCGCTCACTGACATCGGATGGCAACGTGTGACAAACACAAGGTGGTGCAGCCTGAGGGCTGCTGTCGTGGCCGTGCAGGGAGCCTGAGTTCCGCTCGGACCAGTGTTCAAGTCCTGGCTGATGTCTTACTGGATGGCTGGAGTGGTTAACTTCCTGGAGTTCAGTGTCCTTACCTCTAAGATGGGAGAATAATCCCTCTTTATCTTATTTCAATAAAATTACAGAAGAACAGCCTGAAAGTACCCAACGCAGTGCCAAGCACACCGGAAGTGCTTCATGAGAAGTACTGCCTCTAATCCGAAGCCAGAGGGCCAGGCCCAAGAGCTTTCCCTCCCCGCAGCAGACCGGATTAGTAGTCTCAGCATCATCCTTCTCCCTCCCTCCTCTTCTTTTTTCTTTCTTCCTTCCCTTCAAAAACCTTTAAATATAATAGCCTTATTAATAGGTGCTGGCAGTTTGTAGACTGTTTTTTAAAAGGCAAGTTGTGAACTTTTATTATAAATGAAAAATTTTTGCCGGGTGTGGGTGGCTCATGCCTGTAATCCCAGCACTCGGGAGGCTGAGGCAGGAGGATTGTTGTGAATTCAAGATCAGCCTGGGCTACAAAGTGAGCTCAAGGCCAGCCTGAACTACATGGAAAGACCCTGTTTCAAAAAGACAAAATAAAATAAAATAAAATAAAATAAAAATACATGAAAAATTCTTAAAAACCTCAACCAGATATTTTTAAAAACTCTCGAATATGCGTTGAGGACTGGGTGTGTGGCTCAGCAGTAGAGGACTAGCTCAGCATGTGTGAGGCCTGGTTCTATTCCCAGCACATTTGCACACTCACACACATAGGTGTTGAGAAACACCAGGCTTTAAAATTACTGAGAAAAGAAAAAAAAAGATGTCTTTACATAAAAACAATGAACCTCTGCGCTGCCGCCAGCTGATGTTTTCTATCCGGTGGGCTCGAGGTTTTGCCAGGTGGAAACCACTTCTGAAGCATCATTTGCACCCCACCCCCACCGACTACCAAGGCACAGTGAGCGCGGGTCAAAAGCGCACACAGCTCAACCACAGAAGCCAGGTTTGGGGGCCAAGGAGACAAACACATCATTTCCGGCTGGCATCCTTCAGCCCCGGAGTGGCTTGGTGCCAGTGAACTCGGGCTATCCGTAGAATTCAGCTTTCTGGCGGTCACGTTTGGAGATAGCTTACAGTAGGGTGCTGGGGGGAAGACGGGCTGCTTAGCACTTATTCTCTGCCTAGTTCCCCCTCCCGACTCTCTCAGTAAGCACTTTTCTCAGTTGCTGATTGGCCACTGCCTGGAAATTTTCCAGGCTAGAGATTGGGCTTCGCTCATTGGTCAGAACTTGGGTCCGAGGTACAGAGCAGACCAGGGCAGGTCTGTCTTTCTGAGGGTTCTCTTGGTCCTGCCTGCGGGGTCTCCTGCAGCCCTCCTGGGTCCCAGTTATGCTCCTGGATCTCAAGCTACCTCAGCTCACCCCGCAGGACAGTTTCCTTTCCCGAGCACAAAGATCTAAACTTAATCAGCATGGTAAAATAGCTACTCTCCACGTTCATCTCAGAAAAACCACCTTAGGTGTCTCACGATCTATAGCTGACTAAAAAGAATAAATGTTATGTGTGTGGAAAGGGCTAGGGAAAAATGTAACTAATGCCATAACCTTGAAATCAGGTGCTCTCAGTTTGGTGTTGTTTTCCCAGTGCTGGGGATTGAATCCAGTGCCTTTGCACTGAACTGGGCACCAACCCTATTTTATTTGAAGACAGAGAGTCATTAAATCACTGAGTTGCCCAGGCTGAGCTTGAACTTGCAATCCTCTTGCCTCAGCCCCCCTCGGAGCTGCGGTTACAGATGTGTACCACAACACTCAGCTGATTCTAGTCTCTTGTGTATCCTTCCAATCAGTATCTTTAATACACACGCAAGTATAAATATAAATCTTATGGGGCATGGTGGCACACTCCTGTAATGCCAGTACTTGAGAGGCTGAGGCAGCAGAATCACTTCAGGTTTGAGGCCAGCCTGGCCTAGATCAACCTGAACTACATAGTGAGACCCTGTCTCCAAAAAAATGTCTTATTTCCTCTGCCTCTTTTACACGAGAGGTAGCACCTCACACACGTACTGGACACCTTCAGTCTTGGACCTTACCTAATTTACGAGAATTTCAGGGCCAGAGGTAGTGTGGGATAGTGGGCCCTGAGATGATATTCAAGCAAAGTAGGCTGCCACGCTTACATCAGGCCCTAAAAGTTCAAATAGTCTTGTTTGTCTTTAAACTGAGCACAGCGGCACACACCCGAAATCCCAGCACTTAGAAAGGTGAGGTGGGAGAATTGCCATGAGTTTGAGGTCAGCCTGCGTTACCCTAGTGAATTCAAGGCCAGCCTGAACTACACAGCAAGACCCTGTCTCAAAAAATCAAATTAAAAAAATTTTTAAAATATTTTTGGATCATTTTCCTATTATCCCTCCGGTATTAACCAAATGACACAGCACTTGGACCCTACAGAAGGTGGTACAGATAGTTAAGGGCTCAATTTTGCCCCCACCCCCTACTCAAATTCATACACTGAAGCCCTAACTGCTGGTATTACAGAATGTGACTCTGTTTGGAGATCAGACCTGTAAGAGGTGATTAAATTAAAACGAGGCCATTAAGGTGAGCCCTGCTCGTGCTGACTTGTGAGAGGAGACTTGGAGACATCAGCATTGCCCATGCGCAGAGAAAGACCCACAAGTCAAAGTGGCCATGCATGAGCCAAGGAGGGCCTGGCCTAAGAGGCCTAATATAGGTGTGCTTAAGAAACTGTCTTTTGGAGGGATCGGGGGTGTAGTTTATGGCCAGCATAGGCAAAGCCCTGGGCTGGATCCCAGGCCTGCAGAAAAAAATTGAAAACGAAGAAAACGGATCCCAGAGTTTGGGATTCAACACGTGGGAATTTTGTCTGATTTCACATGGCAAAGCTACATGGCCCCGTGAACAGCCGATGCGTTTCTATCTTGGGATGCTGAGAATTTCCTAATGGATCTTGTTTCCTTTTATTCTCCAGTTGCTAAGAGATAGGAAGGCAGAGTTTTGTCTCTGCTTCTAGCCATCTTTGTGATGTGTTTCTGTGCGCTAACAGGACCCTGCCTTCAGGTGCCTGCCTGTGCTTTCCTCTAATTCTGGTGTCCCCATGAGTCTTTTCTAAAATTTTCTCCATTAACGTTCTTGTTGAACATAATTTTCATACATGGTCTCAATCCCTTTTCAAATAAGAAAAGGTATTCTTAGCTAAGTGGCTGTAGATAATAGCAATGCCTGTCTTTCTTACCCTCTCTTTTAACAAAATTAAGCCTTTTTTGGACAACTGCAAATTTAATTTGTCTATAACACATCACAGATTTTACCATAACAGTTAATAACGCCTCTTCCCCTTTTATTTTTGCAGTACTGGGAACTCCCCGCATGTTCACACTAAGCTACATCACTGTTTTTATTTTGTATTTTGAGACAGGCTCTGGCTAAATTTCCCAGGCTGTGTTTTAATTTTTGATCCTCCTGCCTCAGCCTCCCAGGGCACTAGGACTGTAGGTGTGCACCACCATGCCTGGCCTACTACTTTCTTCCAAGCAATTTATCTAACAAAACCCAGCATCTGACCAAACCACAAGACAAGATATGGCAATTATTTTTAAGTCCATGTTATTTCCTACTCTGTGATTCTTAGAATTCCCTTTCCTGTCTTTCTCCCCAGCTGCTTTGCTAGGCAATCTCTTGACACAATAGTTTTCTCTGGACCATATTTATTTCCCTCCAGTTAATACAGTCCCCACCCAGGGACTCTTCCTTTCACAGAGAAAGGCAAGTATCCTTCCCTTACCTCTTTGGTACATCCTTCTTCATTTTAACCCAGGCTACTTAGTAATTTTTCTGGATAGAACACAGTAAAGGTCAAGGGCACAGAGCCAGAGTACCTGGAGCAAATTCTCTTTCTACTGTTAACAAACTGTGTGACCTCTGGCAAGTTATTAAACTCCAAGGAGCCTCAGTTTCCTTGTCTATACAATGGGCGTAACAAAAGCCAGTGTAAATTAGAACCTGAGTGTAAGTACTTGAGAAGCATAGCTCCTGGTACCTGTGAAATACTTGAGACATGGCACCTGGATTCTCTTGGTCACAGAAATAACGGCAACTCCCAGGAGCTTTAAAGCTGAACCTACTGTTCACCTTTCCAGAGAATCGTTTCAAATGACAGACAGCTTAAATATTTTCTTGGTAGTTTTCTAGAATAATGGGCATGCCTGTCTTCCATGGTATATTTATCTGATTTTTGTGGTGTGTTAGGGCTAAAACCCAGGGCTTCCTACTTTCCTGGTAGGAGGTTTCCCACCAAGCGACAATCCCAAACCCGGGTAATTTTATCTTCAATACTGAAGGGGCCAAGATGGCTAAGAGAAGTGAAGGGCCACGTTCCCAAGGCCTGGCCCTGGCTGACATTTCCTTTCTTCCTCCTTAGCACTGTTCAGAGCAGACATCTCACTGTCGCTAACACTGGGTGCTCAGAGGAGGGGAGCGGGCAGTGCCCGCCCACAGGGGCCTCCGCTAGGGGTATGGCCCTGAAATCAGCCTTGGTGCAATTCCTCCTCCTAAGTACTCCTAGGACTCAGGGTTGGTTTGTTTTACAACACCCCCTCCCATTTTGACAAGTGTAAAGCAAACATGTCTGAAGCACCAAGAGGGAGCTTCGGTAATGAGGACGATACCACCTAGCACAGGGTGCTGCTGATGAGTTGGTTTTCTAAGCAACTCTAACATACATCTGGGTGGATAAATGAGCTT